TAATGACTAATGATGATGGACATTTTTTCATGTATTTATTTGCCATTTGTATTTCTTCATCTGAGAAGTGTGTATTCATCTAAGATGCCCATTTTTGGATTGGGTCTTTAAATTTCAGGAGTCTGATTATGTTTTAGACAAAAGTCCTTTGTCTGAGGGACAGATCACTAAGATTTTTTTTTCCATTTGTGGGTTTTCTTTTCACTATGCTAGAGATTTGATTTGACATGCAGAAACTTTTTAATAAGAGGTGATCCCAGTTATTGATTCGGGAAAGTATTTCCCATGCGGTTTGAGTCCTGTTCATGAATTCTCTACCTACTCCTTTGTCTTCAAGGTTTTGACCCAATTTGTCTTCCAAAAGATTTAGTGTTTCTGTTTTAATATCCAGATCTTTGATGCATTTAGATTTTAGTTTAGTACATGGTGATAGGCATGGGTCTAGCTTTAGTTTTTGGCATATGGAGAGCCAGTTTTTCCAGCACCATTTATTAAAGAGACTCATTCTTCCAGTGAACCTGTTTAGCCCTTTTATCAAAGATAAGGTGGTTGAGTGTGTTTGTAGTTGTGGTTGTATCTTCTAATCTATTCCACTGATCGTCATCTCTTTTTGATTCCAGTACCATGTTGATTTTATTACAGTTGCTTTGTAGTATAACTTCAAGTCAGGGATTGTGATGCCTCCTGCTTTGCCTTTGCTGCTTAGAATTGCCTTTGCTATTCTAGGTCTCTTCTGGTTCCAGATGAATTTTAGGAGTGATTTGTCTAGATCTATGAGGTATGTTTATGGTATTTTCATTTGGATTGCATTGTTTCTTATAACAGTTTTGGGAGAATGGCCATTTTCACAATATTTATTCTTTGTATCCATGAACAAGGGATGTTTTTCCATTTTCTGAGTTCCTCTTAGATTTCTTTTTTCAAGAGTATTACAATTTTCCCTGAATAGATCTTTTACTACTTTCATTAGATTAATTCCTAAATATTTCATTTTTTTGGATGATAGTGTGAAGGATGTGGCTTCTCTTATTTCTCTCTCAGTGGTTTTGTTGTTAGTTTATACAGATGCTATTGATTTTTTGAGTATTGACTTTGTATCCAGCTACACTGCTGAATTTATTTATCTAGGAGTCTTTCAATAGAGTTTTAGAAATCATCTATGTAGAGTATCATGTCATCTGCAAATAATGATAGCTTAACTTCCTCTTTTCCTATCTTTACACCTTTTATTTCTCTCTCTTGTCTAATTGCTTTGGCTAGTATTTCCAGTACTATGTTGAATACGAGCAGTGATAATCCTTGTGTTGTGCCTGATTTTAAGGTAAAGGCTTTCAGTTTTTGGCCATTTAATATGATGCTGGCTGTTGGTTTGTGGTAGATGGCCTTTATCATATTGAGGTAAAGACCATCTATTCCAATTTTCTGTAAGATTCTTATATGAATGAGTGTTGGACCTTATCAAAGCTTTTTCTGCATCTGTAGAAATGATCATGTGATTCTTTTGGCTCTATGGCGGATTACATTTATTGATTTACATATGTTGAACCATCCCTGCATGCCTGGGATGAATCCCACTTGCTCATGGTATATAATCTTCTTGACCGTTTGCTACATCCTAATTGCCAACATTTTATTGAGGATTTTTGCATCTGTGTGCATTAGGGAGATTGGCCTGGAGTTTTCTTTCTTAGTTGTGTCTTTCCCAGGTTTTGATACTAGAGTAATATTTGCTTCCAGGAATGATTTAGGAAGGATTTCTTCCCTTTCAATTTCATTGAAGAGTTTGAGGGGTGTTGGCATTAAGTCTTCTTTGTACTTCTTGTAGAATTCTGCAGTGAATCCGTCTGGGCCTAAGCTCTTCTTTGTAGGTAAGGACTTAACTATATTTTCAATTTCATTAATAGAGATTGGGTTATTCAGCAGTTTTATATCTTCTTGACCTTGGTACTTCCTATGTTTCTAGAATCTGTCCATTCTTTCTGTGCTATCAAACCTATGAGAGTAGAGGTTTGAGAAATAGGTATTGATAATCTTCTGTGTATTTCCACAGAGTCTATAGTGATTTCATCTTTTTCATTCCTTATTGCATGATTTTGAGCTTTTTCTTTCTTTTTTAAATAAAATTGGCTAGGGGATTATCAATTTTGTTTATTCTTTCAAAGAACCAACTCTTTGATTCATTGATTCTTTGGATTGTTTTCTTAGTCTCTATTGCATTAATTTCTGCTCTGATTTTTATAATTTTTCCCTTCTTTTGGTTTTGGGCTTCACTTGCTCTTCTTTTTCTAGATGTTTGATGTGTAGCATCAGGTTGTTTATTTGTATTCATTCTATTTTCCTAATGTGGGAACTCACTGCAGTAAAGTTTCCTCTGAGGACCACTTTCATTGCATCCCACAGATTCTGGTAAGTTGTACTTGTATTTTCATTTGCTTGTAGGTATTGTTTAATTTCCTCTGTGACCCACTGATTTCTCAAGAGTGAATTATTCAATTTCCATGTGTTTGTGAGGTTTTTGCTGTTTCTTTTATCATTAATTTCTAGTTTCATGGTGCTATGATCTGATAACTTGCATGAGATAATTTCAACTCCTTTGTATTTACTTAAATATGTTCTCTGGGCTAGTATATGGCCCACTTTAGAGAATTTCCCATGCACTGATGATACAAATGTATATTCTGATATTGTTGGATGTAACACTCTGTATACATCTATCAAGTCCATTTGTTCAAAGGTGTGATTCAGCTCTGTTATTTCTTTGCTGATTTTCTGTCTGGTTGATCTGTCCCTTTGTGCCAATGGCGTATTAATGTCTCCTGTTATAATTGTGTTATTGCTTGTTTGATTTTTAATTTCTGTTAATATTTGTTTTTTATAGCTGGGTGCTCCCAAATTTGGTGCATATATATTTAAGATTGTTATCTCTTCCGCTAGAAGTTTTCCCAGTATGTAATGACCAACCAGTTTTCCCAGTATGTAATGACCTTCTTTATCTCTTCGGATCATTCTTGAAGTTCACATTGTCTGAAAACAGAATAGCTACCCCTGCTTTCTTGTTGGGGTGTTTCTGTTGTCTGAAGTACTGTTTTCCATGCTTTGACTTTCAGTCTATGAGTTTCCTTTTGAGTTAGATGGGTTTCTTGTAGACAGCATATGGTTGGATGTTGTTTCTTGATCCATTCTGCCAGTGTTTCTTTTAATTGGTGAACTGAGACCATTTATATTCATGGTTATAACTGTTATATATGAGTTTATTTTTGACATGTTATCTTTCTGTTGTGCATCTTAACCTTTCCGTTCTGTTTAATTGTCTGCTTTGCTTAGTGGTTTTGCCCTATGTGTATCTAGAATGTCTTTTAGTATTCTTTGAAGGGTTGGTTTGGTGATCATGAAGTTCTTCAGCTGTTTTTTGTCATGGAAGTATCTAATTTCTCCACCCATTTTGAAGGACAGTTTTGCAAGTTGCATTAGTCTGGGTTGGAAATCATATTGCTTTAGAATCTGAAATACTTCACTCTGTGCTCTTCTTGACTTCACTGTTTGTGTTGAGAGGTCTGCTGTGATTATGATAGGTTTTTCTTTATAGGTGATCTATCTCTTGTTTCTAACAGCTTTTAATATTCTATTCTTATGTTGGATTTCTGGGATGGTGATTATTATATGTCTGGGTGTACTTTTATTTTGGTTATGTTTATTTGGAGTTCTATATGCTTCACTGATCTGTATGTCAGTTTCCATTCTCATGTTTAGGAAATTTTCAGCTATTGCTTCTGTAAATAGCCTCTTGATACCATTTGTGTGGTCCCCTTCTTTTTCATTTATCCCTATCAATCTTATGTTGTTTTTATTTGCATCATCTTGCAGCTATTGAATTGCTATTTCCTGATTCCTTGTTATTTTTAAAATACTTTTCATTTCCTGTTCATTAGCTGCACTCTGGTCTTTGTGATTTGAAATTCTGTCTTCACTTTTGTTGAGGTGGTTTTGACAACCTTTAATGTAATTTTTGATTTCCTGTATATCTCTTTGAATCTGCTTCATGCATTCTGTTTGTTTCTTAAATTGTTCATCCAGGGATTCTATGTTTTTGCTTTGTTCCTCTAGTTTTTTAACTGTGTCTTGTTTAGATATGTTCAGCACTTCTTTCATTACTTTTATCCTTTCTTTTTGTACCTGGGAGATTATTTCTAATTTGAATTGCTTTAATGTTTTCCAGATTTGCTTCTTTATTTCAGTTGCTATTATTTCAGGTATTTCAGATGTATGGCATATATTTTCTTCCATGTTCATGGCTCCTAGGCTTTTTTGGGATGGAATGGAAGTTTGAGATTGCATTTTGGTCTTTCGTTTTGTCATTTTCCTATATTTCCATGTTTTGAGCAATGTTCCAAAACTTCCACTGGGCGTGTTGGAAATTGCCTTCTTTGCCCTTAGCTCCTGGGACTGAAGGAAGGTTGCTGAGCACGGTCCAATCAGGCCCACAGGAACTCCCATGCCACCTCTGGTGTTCCAGGAAGCTAGGCTGCCTCCTAACCACTGTGTGTGATGTCCAACAGTCTCATTGGGCTAGCACCAATGTGCTGGAGCTCACCTCACATGCACTCAGCTCCCCTGATTGAAGTAGGTCACTGGGTGTGGTCAGAAACCTCCCAAGCCTAGTCTACTGTGACTGGAAGTTGGGCGGTCCTTAACCGCTGAGATTGATGATGTTAAACACTCCCATGGCCAGGGCTGTTGTGCTGGAACTCACTTCTGGCAGCCCCAGTTCCCGGGATGGAAAAACTACCCCAGATAGTTTTAGAAACACTAGTATAATAACCCTTACTTAAAAACAAAGAAACAACAACAAAAAGCACCCCAATGTTAAAGGCAAACAATAGACAAAGGATGACATGTGTTATTTACTCTCTGGCAGTTCACGAAGAAATGTCTCCTCCTACTGGTGATTTTCTATGATGAGGTTTTTAAATGAAAGATTAATGCTCTTGTCTCTTTTTCAGGGAGTCTGACCAAAGAAGGGACACCGAACTTGCACCAATTTGTACTACTTTTTGCTGTATTTGATGAAGGTTAGTGAGCTCTAGTCTAAATTTTGGATTCCTAAAAGAAGATATATTATCTTAAGATCATATTTCAGAATGTGAGTTGCTTCTATTCAGAGGAAGTGATTATAGAAAACTATATTACTATTCAGAATAGATCCTAAGTATAGTAAGGTAAGACGCATATATTTTGTGGTAGTGTCCATCTTAGTTCATTTTGGGCTGTTATAACAAAATAGCTGAGATTAAATACTTTATAAGAAAAGAGGTTTATTTAGCTCATCGTGCTAGGAGTCTAAGAGCATCGTGCCAGCATCAGCTATGAGGTAAGAAAATAGAGGAATTGGGTAGCAGGAGTTGCCCCCTTCATGAAATCTACCAGCAAAGCTTTTTGGTCACATTTGCTGAATATCTAACATTATCTTCATCTCTTACTAAATGTGCGACATCTGGCAAATTCCTTAAATTATCTGTGTCTGTTTCTTCAACTAATATTGAAGTAATACTATTTTTTCATAGGGTTATTGTAAGATTTAGGCAATTTCACTTAAATACCATCAATAGTGTTAGAACTTCTGCTTCCCTCCCAAAGTAATCAACAGCCATAATAACATTACAATCTCCTTCTCTCCCTTTTCACCAACCTACACTGCCATTTTCATAACTGAGGCCCCTATAATGTATCTCCTGACTAGTTTCCCAGTTCTTCTGGGAACACTCCATTCCTAATACTCCGTTGTTATGATAATAGCTGGAGAAATTTCCAATGCGCTCACTCTCATTGATTTTACAGAATAGGTTGAAAAGCTTTCAGGTTGTGGGATTTCATTTTTACAAACCAGGATAAAGCAATTATGACAGGGATAAGGACTGACAGCCCTTTTTGGGGGCTGATGTTCATTTCCTTCCTTTTAAATAAATCATATAAGTGCTTGGTTTGGGAGCACATATACTAAATAAATCAACTAATAAAGATTAAAAACCTTATGACTAAAGATAACAAATATTCTCCTTTTCCCTAGTTATCATTTGTCATTTTCTCTGCTATTGTCATAAAAATTATAAGGAGATATCATCAATATGAGCAAGAAATGTCTACCTTTGATAATTGTCTTCTCCCTCTCACTTTGAGATAATAAGTTATCTGTCTTTTTTGCTGACAAAAATGCTTATAGTGAGTGGTTTTTGTCCTAAGGGAGGCATGTTAGCTCTCTGTTGATGAAAAATACCTTAAAAAGCTTAAAGGAGGAAAAATTTATTTTGGCTCACAGTTTTAGTCTGTGGTTGGTCTAAAACATGGTGAGGCAGGCATGGTGGATGGAGTAGAAGAGGAAAGCTGCCCACCTCATGGCAGACGGAAAGGAGAACAGGGCTAGGGGAAGGCCTAGGGACAAGATTTCCCCTTCCTGGTTGTGCCTCCAGTAACCGACTTCCTCCAACTACACCTTACCTCCTCTGTTTTCCACTGCCTCTCAATTATGAATCTATCCATATATCAATCTATTGATGCAGTCAGAGCCCTCATGATCTGATCATTTTACATAAACCTCAGTTCTGAACATGGCTGTACTGGTTACCAAACCTTTGACACATGAGCCTTTGGAGAACATTCCAGATCTGAAACACATAGAAAGGGAAGGGGATGGTCATTCGTGACTTGGAACTTTGCTCACTCTGTCTTGCTTTCTCTCTCATCAGGGAAGAGTTGGCACTCAGAAAGAAAGGATGCCAGGACACAGGCTTCAGATTCTGCACCTGCTGGGGCCTGGCCTAAAATGCACACAGTCAATGGCTATGTAAACAGGTCTCTGCCAGGTATGTACACATCTGCTTAACAGTCCTCAGGTTTTCTGAATTCAACATGAGAGGTCTGTTCTCTATGTCTCAGACTGCTCTGCATCCTAATAGAAAGCCCACTGGTTTCTGGCCTTTAACATTCTGAAGATCACCTGAAAATGAAGGCCTCCTCATGTACACTGGACTATGACCAGATTTGTCTACCCTTTTACTTAAATATGCATGGGCAGTCAAGGTTGAACATACATTTAAGGACAAGTCTTTGCAAAGATAATATGCAAGGATAAATGAAGAAAAAATCTTAGAGGAAAGGAGAAAGAGATAATGCTAAGAACAGAAAAGAACTTGCCAGAGCTTATTTTCACAACTAAAGAAGATGTGGCATCAATAAAGTAACAACAGGTTCCAATAAAAAGAACCAATAAGAATAAGAACATGTTCATACAAATCAGAAATATGATGTCAAAATACAAACTCAATAGAAAGTAGATAGGAAAAATGTTCCCAAAATACAGCAAAAAATGCTAATAATACATTTTAAAATCGGCTTAAAATAAATGACAAAAATGTTAAGAAACAAGAGATACAAGTCTTCCTACTAAAAACTATCTTAAGATAAGAAAGGAGCCCCACACATAATTATCACTGTAGCATTTCAGCATACAAAGATAAGATATAAAACTTGCTGGGAAAACAAGTCATGAAGAACTGAAAATAGGGCCTACAATATAATGGAACAATATCTTAAAAGTTCTAAAGGAAAGTTTTTTTCTGAGTTACATTTTTGATGGTTTGATTTTTTAAATTAATTTTTATTGGGACATGTTTGCCATACATAATGATCACATCCATCATAGGGAATTTGTACCTGTACGTAGTAAATTTTAATTCTTTTTTTTCCCCACTTCTCTCTCCTCCCTTCTGTCTTTCCTTCACTATTTACAAAACTTTGTTTCCATTGTTTTCCTTCCATTCTTTTTAAAATTCCCATTTTTTTCTTTCCCTTCTCCAAACCCTTCCCTTGCTCCCCTTCCCATTTGAACATTTTCTTCTTCTTTTCCAATATCTGTCCTCTATTTTGGTCGTAATGTACCCTCTGGGTTTCTCACACAAGAGAAACAACACAATATTTAAACGTGCGTCTGACTTATTTTGCTTAACATTATGGCCTTGAGGTGTATCCATTTACTTAAAATTGTCTCAACTTTATCCTTTGTGCAATAGTAGTTCTCCATTGAATATAAAAATCACATTTTATTTATCCATTCACCCATTGATGGGCATATGGGCTGTTTACTTGATTTAGTTATTATAAATTGTGCTGCAAATAACACAAATGTGCATATATCACTATGATATGATGCTTTTAACTCTTTTGGAAAGATACAGAGAAGGGGAACAGCTGAATTAAGTGAATTTTCTACTTCTAGTTTTTTGAAGAATCTCCATACTGATTTCCATATTGGTTGTACAAATTTACACTCTCATCAACAGTGGAGAAGAATCTCTTTTTCCCACAGCCTCACCAGAATTTGATATTAGTTGATTTCTTGACGACAGCTATTCTTTCTGGAGTGAGATGAAATCTCAGTGTTGCTTTAATTTGCATTTTTCAAATGACTAGTGATGCCAAACACTTTTTCATATATTTATTTGCCATTTATAGTTCTTCATCTGAGAAGTATGTAATCATTTTAGGTGCCCATTTTTAGATTGGGTCTTTAAATTTGAGAGATCTGATTTTTAAAGAATTTTTTACATACTTTAGATATAGATCCTTTGAGTAATACCTGGCAAAAATTTTTCCCCATTTTTTGGGTTGTCTCTCAACTCTGTTGGTGGTTTATTTTGCTGTGCAAAAGCTTTTTAATTTGATGTGATCTCAGATGTTTATTCTTTGTAATATTTCTGTGCAATCGGGCTTTTGTTCATAAAGTCTTTGACTACACCAATGTCTTCAAGTTTTGCTTATTTTATCTTCCATCAGATTAAGTATTTCTGTTTTAATATTTAGATCTTTGATCCATTTTGACTTAATTTTAGTGCACAGTGAAAGATATGTTTGAATCTTTGGCATGTGGAAAGCCAGTTTTCCTAACGCCATTTATTAAAGAGGCTATCTTTTAGTGAAGATGTTTGGCTTCTTTGTCAAAGATAAGGTAGCTGAGTGGGTTTGGAGTTGTTTCTGCATTTCTGTTCTGTTCCACTGATCCTTTAGTCTGTTTTTCTTTTTCTTTTTTTCAAGTATCATGCTGCTTTTATCATGGTAGCTTTGTAATACAGTATAATTTCAAGTCAGGGACTGTGATGCCACCTGCTTTGCCCTTGTTGCCCATAATTGTTTTTGCTATTCTGGGTCTCTTCTGGTTCCATATGAATTTTAGGGTTGTTTTCTCTAATTGTGTGAGATATGTTGTTGGTATTTTAATAGTTTATATTAAATTTGTATAATAGTTTTGAGATTATGGCCATGGTAAACATTATTTTAAATCTATAATTTTAACTAAACGAGGAAATGGCTTTGGGATAGAATACTTATTTTTCAGAAATAGAAGAAGCTACAAGTCAGGGAATATGTACTAGAGTAAAACTAGAAAGTAAATGAAAGAACTTGGATGACTAAGCAAACTAAGAAAATAATGAAGGATGGGGAGGATATTTTCTTAATTATTTTCTGTATAGTTCCACATTAAATATGCATAATTTTAGAATTAAAAGAGAAATTAATCTTTAATACATTCAAGACGTGGCTATCACATAATGTATAGTATAATGGAGAGATTGATAATGACCAATCATAACAATGAATGCATAATTATAAACCAAGAATTACTCTGAAAGAAATTACATAATTATATGTGAGTACATAATAAAGGAATCTATCCAGATTCCCTGAAATATCACTTGAACTGAGCACTGAAGATGTTAACTGTGTTGCCATAGTTTGTGTTAGATTGGCTATGGGAGGTGACAGTAGTGATAAGGAAAATTCACTCCTGTATAATTGAATCTTGGATGGTGCCATTCACTGAAATAAGTAACTCTGGAGGAGAATAAGGTGATGAATATTGCTTGTCCATTAAGTTTAGCAGCATGATGATCACTGACAAACTTGGCAAGAGCTGTTGGTTTGATAGTAACCCCAGTTTCTTTGGTATGTTAATTTATGTGTAATAAAACTTGTGTGGTCAATTTGTCTATCCTGCCCTAGCAAGTGTTTTCCATTTCAAATTCTGTATTTCTTAGCCATAACTGTCTTATTTCTATTTTACAGGTCTGATTGGGTGCCACAGAAAATATGTCTACTGGCATGTGATTGGAGTGGGTACCACCCCCGAAGTGCATTCAATATTCTTTGAAGGTCACACATTTCTTGTGAGGAACCATCGCCAGGCTTCCCTAGAGATATCACCAATAACTTTTCTTACTGTTCAGACAGTGTTGATGGACCTTGGACAGTTTCTACTGTTTTGTCATATATCTTCCCATCAACATGGTAATATCTTAGGTCTTCAAAAATGAGTATCATGAAAATCTAGTTATATTTTTAATGGAATTTACTGGACATTACAGGAATGTAGTATGTTGCAGAAGTTGCAATTATAGAATTAGAATTATGTTAGACCTCAGCTGAGACTTCCTAGTTGCTAGCATCCCCGGTAAAGATTTTACCTGGAATGTAAGAGGATTTGAGTATTATTAGTATGGGTGAATTTTTAGTTAGATGTCAGTTAGAGAAGAGAAGTAGCTTAGGGATAAGTGACACAGGGAAAATGAGGAAGACAGTACATCATTGGTTTTCTTGCCTGGCCCCATTAACTTCAATACTAGGGAAAGAGGGACTACAGTTTGTAAGTGAAGATATGTTTTCTTTTAAACATTTGAAAGCCTAAACCAAACTAATTCCCCATCTCCACAGGCATCTACTGATTTCTATACTTGCTTCATTGGATTGCCATACAAATCACTGATTTAATAACAGTTTATTTGAAAAAATAGGTTCTCCATTTTTAATTTGATATACTCAAAACCAGTTTTATAAGGGAAATATTCATTTATGTATTCCTAGAGTAAAATAATGAATTTTGAAAAAAAGGGCAAAACATATAGGTATAGTCCAGAAAAAGGAAAATGGCAAAAGAAAGACCAGGGGAAGAAACCAGCCAGTATCGGATAATCTATACAAGAAGAAATCCCTATATGAATATGGCTGAGAGGAGTACTGATGTGGAAAGAGAGGCACTTAGGGCAAAGTCTTGAAAGCCTAAGAAGAGAAAAAGAAATCATGAAATTTAAGGTAAGACGTTCTAGTCAGAGTCTGACTGTTTTTTTTTTTTTTTTTGCCTGACTCTAGCTGGCATGGAAGCTTATGTGAAAGTAGACAGTTGTTCAGAGGAACACCAACTGCGGATGAAAAAGGAAGAAGAAGAGGAAGGTTATGATTATGATGATGTTGATTCTGAAATGGATGTGTTTAGGTTTGATGATAACTACTCTTCCTTTATCCATATTCGCTCTGCTGCCAAGAAACACCCTAAAGCTTGGATACATTATATTGCTGCTGAGGAGGAGGACTGGGACTATGCTCCTTCAGTCTACACCTCTGATGACAGGTAAACACCTTTAGAGTCTTGCTGCTACTCTTCTCCATACCCAAAACATCCTTACCAGTGATTCAAATGAAATTCTTGAGCTGCATTTAAGGGGTAGTACAGGTATGAAATTGAACAGTGTTGTGTTAGACAACTGTTTGCATCATGACAAAAACAAAACAAAAACTAAGATAACAACTTTTAGGAGAAAGGGTTAATTTTGTCTCAGGTTTCAGTGGGTTCAGTCCATGGTCACTTGACAACTTTACTTTGGGCCCATATTGAGGCAGAACATCTTGGTGAGAGCCTATTTTGGACCAGGCCTGAAACAGCAGGATAAAGTAAAAGGGGCCAGGCATCCATAGATCCTCTTCAAGACCATGCCCCTGGTGATCCAACTTCCTTCCACTGGATCACCCCTTAAAGGTTCCACGACCTCCCAATTGCTTCCTGGGCTGAGAACCACGCCTTCACACATGGTCTGTGGAGAACACTGAAGACAAACTGCAGCAGTTATTGACATATTTGGAGACCACCACAGCAAAGTATCAGATATATTTGTACTGTGTTTTTCACATTCTTTGCCTGGATGAAACCAGATCAGTTGTTTTAGAACTGAATTTTTTTGTGTACCTAAGATTTTCTATCCCAAAGCCTCATATTTTTGTCTCTCAAACAGAAGTTATAAAAGTCAATATTTAAACAATGGTCCTCAGCGAATTGGTAGGAAGTATAAAAAAGTCCGCTTTATGGCATATACAGATGAAACCTTTAAAAGCCGGAAAACTAGTCAATATGAATCAGGAATCCTGGGACCTCTACTTTATGGAGAAGTTGGAGACACACTTTTGGTAAGTTAAGGAAAAGGCTTGAGATTAGGTAAGAATGAGAAGTCTGGAGGTTTTGGGTTTCTATAATACTTCATAATTCAGCTTGTTTCCAAAGGATATGACCTTTTAAAAAGTATAAATACTGCAGAAATAAATGCTGATTATATATGTTATAAATGAGTACATAGGGTAAAATTTAATGTCATCCTATAAACCCACTATTCTTTGAATTTCATACTACTTAAACTTCTATAGGTATCCTTCCAGAATATTTTTCATTTTTTATATAGGAGTCAGATTACTACAGTTTGTGAGTTTTAAATTCAGTTTATGATCTGCTTTTGAACACTTAGTGGGCTTAGAAGGGCTTTGCCTTTTTAAACGATTGCAAAGAGAAGAAGGGGCAGAGTGAAGAGAGTGGAGAATATACAATAAAGCCTAGGGTGTTTACTATCTGGTGCTTTCCAGAAACTGTGTGCTGACCCAGATCTAGGTTATTAAGAATCTTTAAGGGGAAGGTTAATAGAATATTCAGTGAACAGTGCTTTAAATGAATATGGGTTTATTATTTCACAAGAAGGGAAATATGGTCCATTTTATGATAGTAGGTGTATCAAAGAATTTGAGAATCAGTCCCGGACCCACAGCTTACTTCTCCAGTTTAACAAAGAAAAGCATAAGACAGTGAAATCACATCTTTAGTGTATTACATGAGAATCATTTATTGCAAGAAACATCTTGCAAGAATTTTCATTTTATTGACAATTTAAACTAATTCAAAAATTTAAAAATTAAAATGTACAGTATTACAAGTGAATCATTATCTTGGTAAGGATTTGTAAAAAGCTTTTAATAGACATCATACTTGATAAAATTAAAAAAAAAACCTGCTTAAGGTTAGGATAAGACAGAGCTGGGAGGTATCGCCATCTCTATTCAGTGCTGTTCTGGAAATATCAGTGAGTGTTCTTAAGGGAAAAAAGAGAAAATTTTAGTATTGGAAAGTAATAAACAGGTTGTTATAGGCTGGGAATGTTGCTCAGTGATAAGGCACTCAGGTAGCATGTGTGAGGCCTTGGGTTCGATCCCCAGCACCACAAACATAGATAAATAACTTCTTTAATAAGAAACAGGCTATTTGGTGGACTTATCAAATGAGTGGATTTTAAAGCAGGAGTGCAAATGGGAGTTAATTTTCCCCCTCATCTCATACATGTTCAGATAAGAGGAAGGATTAACATCTTGGTCTTCCTTGCTGTCTCCATGTCCTGTCTTCCTTCTTTTCCTTTAAAGTCCTTACATCAGTATAATCCTCCTATCCTTTCTTGATGCTGTCATCAACTGCCCTCCTAGGCATGCTTCTTATTTTACCACAAGAATCCCTATTTGTCTCTCTTCTCTTAAGGAATTTAGTGCCCAAATAATGGAAAAGCCTGAGAGGCGGGAGTGTCTCCTCAATTCATGTGAGAAGGCACAGCAAAAACTTCCTGAAGCAATTGAAATAATTTTTAAAGAAATGGAAAGAGACTTTTAGTAAAAAACCTAAGTAGCTGTCTAAATAATTTCATGGCAAGAACAAGCACCTTGAACATTAGCTAGGCTAAAACCCCTATAATGTAAGTACAGGCAGCTTTTGGTTTTCTGGAAATAGGTTACAACTTTCTTATTGGTCCTAGTTGATTTGATTCTATATCTCATTTTTACTTTCAGATTATATTTAAGAATCAAGCAAGCCGACCTTATAACATCTACCCCCATGGAATAACTGATGTCAGTCCTTTGCACTCAAGAAGACTGCCAAAAGGTAAATATGACCTCATTTTAAAAACTTGTTTCTATTATTACATGGTTGAATTTCATAATGATTACATATGCCTAAAACATGATTATTTTCACATCTCCTTTCCTTTCCTTTTCTCCAACTGCCCTCCATCTCTTGGTCTCCTTCTCATTTGGAAAAGATTTATGCCCCTGTTCCCTATTAGATATCTTTTATTTTGTTTTTTAATTTATTTATGGTTTAGGTTTTGCATATGCAATATTTAAGTTTATGTTTCTGATTTATTTTGCTTGACATTATGGTTTCAAGATACATCCATTTTCCTACAAATGACTCAAGTTTATCCTTCCTTATGGCAGAGTAGTACTCTATTGTGGATAAATACCAAGTTTTCTTTATCCATTCATCTGTCAATGGACATGTAGAACTCTTTCAAATTTATCGGTCATGAATTGTGCTAAATTGTGCTAAAACATGGGTATACATGTATCATATGATATCTTTAACTTTCAGGAGGAAACCTAGAAGGTGAATAACTGGGTCAAACGAAATTTCTAGTTTCAGCATTTTGAGAAATCTCCATACTTTATAGTGGAGATACAGTGTACTAATTTACATTTTCACCTACAATGTATAAGTGTTCCTTTTCCCACAGCCTCTCCAGTATTGATTATTTGATTTCTTGACAATTAGCCATTCTTTCTGGAGTAAAATGGAATTTCAAAGTTGTTTTAATTGGCATTCCTTTAATGACAAGAGATGTGAGACAGTTTTTCATTTATTTATTGGCCATTTATACATCTGAGAAGTGTCCATTTGTTTCAGTTGCCCATTTTTGATCAAGCCTTTTTATTTTGGGGAGAGGTATGTTATGGCTTGCATCTAGATGTCCCCCCCAAATCCTCATGCAGTCATAGGTGGGCCTTTCAGAGGTGGCTACATCTAGAGAGTGTGACACTAGGATTGATTCATGGTGCAACGCTAACATTAAGGGTGTGAGTGCTATCTGCTCTAAGGACAGGTAGTCTGCAGAAGCTATAAGGGACAGAAAGTGGTTTGTTGCTTGTAGCTCATTTGCTAGGTGTCTTCTGCCTGCCCTGGTTTGCTATGAATTGTTTTTGTTCTGTGATGCCCTCTGCCATGCCACTCTGCCCTGGAGCCAACTTACTATAAACTGAAACCTCTGCAAACTGTGAGCTCAATAAACCTTTCCTCCTTTAACTTTGTGTGTTGGATATTTTATCTCAGCAGTGAGAAAAGTAACTAACACAATGTCTAACTATTTTATTTCTTTATATGTTCTAGACATTAGTCCTCTGAGGAATACTTGGCCAAATTTTCCCATTCTTTAGACTGTTTCTTCACTCAGTTAGTTGTCTTCTTGGCAATGCAGAAACTTTTTAATTTTATATAATACCATTTGTTGATTCTTGATACCATTTCTTGTGCACTTGAGATTCTGTTCAAAAAGTCTTTCCCAATGCCTATGTCTTTAAGAGTTTTACCTATTTTATCTTCTGGTACACTAAGTGCTTCTATTTTAATATTTATATTTTGAAGCCATTTTGACTTCAGTTTTGTACATGGTGGGAAATATTGGTGGTGTTCATTCGATCTTCTGCATATGAATGGCCAGTTTTCTCAGTACTGTACCATTTGCTAAAATGGTTATCTTTCTTCCAGCCTATGTTTTTGGCCTCTTTCTCAAAGATCAGATAGCTGAATGTGCCTGGGATTGTTTATGCATCCCTTAATCTGTTCTGTTGATCCACAAGCCCGTTTTAGTGCCAGTACCATGCTGTTTTTATCACTGTAACTTTGTAATATGACTTGAAATCTGGGATTGCATTGCCTCCTACTTTGCTCTTGTTCAGGATTGTTTTTGCTACTCTAGGTCTCTTCTGGTTTCATATGAATTTCTGGATTGTTTTCTTTAGTTCTGTGAGAAATCCAATTGGTAGTTTGGACTGGGATTGCATTAATCTGTATATCAGTTTTGGAAATATGGCCATTTTTAAATATTGGTCCTGCCTATCTAGAAAGAAGGAATAACTTTGCATTTTTTAAAAAAAATTATTTTAAAAAGGGGGAAACTAAACACAACAAAACAAAACAAAACTAAGCAGATCAGAAGAAAACAATGTAAGAGACACAGATTTTAAACCAACAACGGGAGATCATTACTGTCTATCATATTATATCTTGTTTTCCTCCAAAAAGTTGTCCATATCTTCACACACAATGAATTCATACAAAACAAAGCAGTATTAAAATGATCAGAACAGGATGATGAAGGCATTTTAGGGCTTCAAAACCAGATAAGTGGGAAATCAACAATAGCTGCCATAATGTCTCTCGTTTTCTTCAAATAGCTATCCATACATTCATGTATGCTAAAATTAAAACAAAACAGACTAAAATCACTCTGAAGAAAGAATAACAGTATTGCTGGATTTCACAGCATGACACTACGGAATCAGCACTGGATACCTTAGTGTCTCTTTTTCTTCAAAGTAGCTGTTCATTTCATCAAACATTATATAATTAATTCTCATAAATTGTTTAGGAGAAGTTCTATGCATATATGAGTCTCTACATGTATACCTATTCTTTCTGTATTACAGGGAAAAAAAAACAAATTCCTAGAAAAACACAAAACAAAAAAGACAAATAAACAACAATAGCAAAGAGCCCAAAACATTGACAATATAGGCCTTCAAAACAAGGTGGTATGAGCATAACTAAGATTGTTATTTTACATAATGATCTTCAAGAGTTCCTCAGATCAACATAAAATAATATGCACAGTTGATCCAATCCTATGAATGTTAACTGTTTTGTTCCAAGAATTTATAGAATTTGTAGCACAATCATTTTAGCTATCTTGTGTGTTTAATTATAGATATATTTTCTTTTCCCTTCTTTTTTTCCCCCTCACTTTCCCTGAGACATTATTTTCCCCCATTAAGCAGATTCTTATCCTTTCACTGTAATTACTGAGTTTTTTGTATCTTCTGTACTCTTACCATTTCTTATACTAGGAAGACTATACAGTATTTACACATGTGAGTTTGATTTATTTCACTTATGAATATGGTCTTGAGTTGAATCCAGTTACTTATAAATATCTCAATGCGATCATTCTTTATAGCTGAGTAGTACTCCACTGTATAAAAATACCACAAATTTTTATCCAGTCCTCAGTTGATGCACACTTAGGTTGTTTCAAAGATCTGGCTGTTATAAATTGTGCTGCTATAAACATGGGTGCACATATGCCACTGTGGTATGATGTATTCAGTTCAGAGGTGGAATAGCTAGGTAGAATGGGACTTCTAATCCCAGCTTTTTGAGGAACTTCAGACTGACCTCCACAATGGTTGCAGCAGTCTGCACTCCCACCAACAGTGCAGAAGAGATCCTTTTTCCCCACAGCCTCTCCAGCATTTATTGTTGGTAGTTTTCTTGATCCTGGCCATTCTTTCTGGAGTGAGATGGAATCTCAGTGTTATTTTAATTTGCATTTCTTTAATGACCAATGATGCTGAACACTTTTTCATGTATTTATCTGTCATTTGTATTTCTTCATCTGAGAACTATGTATTCATGCCAGATGCCCATTTTTGGAATGTGTCTTTGAATTTTGGGGATCTGATTTTTTTAATTCTTTACATGTTCTGCACTGAAGTCCTTTATAAGAGGGACTGTTCACTAAGATTTTTTCCATTTGTGGGTCTCCTTTTCACTATGCTGGAGATTACTTTCAACAGGGAAAAACCGTAATAGGATGTGATCCCAGTTATTGATTTTGTGACGTGTGGTGTGATTCTTGTTCATGAATTCTCTACCTACCCCTATGTCTTCAAGATTTCTACCTATTTTGCCTTCCAACAAATTTAGTGTTTCTATTGGTTTGGTGGTCATGAAGTTCTTCTGCTGTTCTTTGTCATGGAAGTATCTTATTTCTCCATTCATTTTGAAGGACAGTTTTTCAGGGTACATTAGTCTGGGTTGGAAGTTGTTTTCCTTTAGGTTCTGCAATACTTCACTCCATGCTCTTCTTGACTTTATTGTGTTGAGAAGTCTGCTGTGATTCTGACAGGCTTTCCTTTATAGGTGATCTGTCCCTTATCTCTAGCAGCTTTTAATATTCTGTTCTTATGTTGGATTTATAGGATGGTGATTATTATATGTCTGGGTACAGTTTTATTTTGGTTATGTTTATTTGGAGTTCTATATGCTTCACTGATCTGTATAGCAGTTTCCATTCTCCTGTTTGGGAAATTTTCAGCTATTACTTCTGTAAATAGTCTCTTGATATTTGTGTTGTTATCTTCTTTTTCGTTTATATCAATCAATCTTATGTTGTTTTTCTTTGCATCATCTTGCAGCTGTTGAATTGTTATTTCCTGATTCCTTGTTATTTTTAAAAGATCTTTCCATTCCTGTTCACTTGCTGCAATCTTGTCTTTCAGGTCTGAAATTCTATCTTCTCTTTTGTTGAGGGGGTTTTGGCAACTTTTGATGGAATTTTTGATTTCCTGTATATCTCTCTGAATCTACTTCATGCATTTTGTTTGTTTCTTATATTGTTCATCCAGATTTTGCATTTTTTTGCATTGTTCTTCTAATTTTTTAACTGCCTTCTTCAGATGTGTTCAGCATTTCTTTCATTACATTTACCATTTCTTCTTTTACCTAGATTATTTCTGATCTGAGTTCTTTTATAGCTTCCTAGAGTTGTTTCTTTACTTCAGTTGTTATCATTTCAAGAGTTTCAGGTGTATGCCCTACATTTTCTTCAGTGTCCACATCTCCTATGCTTGCTTGGGTTGGGCTGGAAGTTTGAGATTGCATTTTGCTCCTTCGTTTTGTCATTTTCTTATATTTGCATATTTCAAGTGATGTTCCAAAGCTTCCCCTGGTGTGCTGGGAATCACTTGGCCCACTTTTGGCTCCCAGGGCAGACTACAGGCAACTTCTAGCCACTTGGAGCTCACTGGATAGGGCCCATGTAGGCCTGT